CAGCCACCAACGACAAAAACGTCGACGCGGCAGATAGTTTTCTGGACCCATGGCTTGGACTTTTAAAAGGTGGTATGGGTGTAGTTGCTGGTCATGGAGAACCCGCCAAGCAGTAGTTTGAGACGCTCCCATTTCATGTGCAATAGCACGCACGCTTGTACGCGGATTGGCCTCTAGTTTGACGCACCACTCAGATAAATTAAATGAATCGGTGTGGAGAATTTACGATAACAAAAATGTAAACACAGCAGGCTTTTTTTTACAAATCGGCGAGACCATGAAATGTGCTAGACGAACATTTTGCAGCTGTTGAATTTTTGTTTCTCTTAAGGTAAAATTAGCGGTAGTGCTCAAACGGCATATTTACGAACAGGGGTTTATAAGGCAAAATTGCATATTTTTATGCCCTCTACAACCCCTATCATTTTGTCGCAATAATTATGGAACACCCTGTATACATATGTAAATATCCTTAATCTTCTCCTGAACCTTGCATGTATAAAATAAATCTACTCTACTCATGCAATCCATCGTCCAGTGGAATATTAATGGGTGTGTTAATCACTATCCAGAACTGAAACTACTCATGCAGGAGAAAAAGCCCTTTTGTCTCTGTCTTCAAGAGACCCATTTCTCTCCAACCACGAAATTTCAGCTACGTGGGTTCAAATGTGTAAGAAAGGATGATACGCCGCAAATCCGTGCCAAGGGCGGCGTGGCAATATTTCTGGATGTAAATATCCCCTTTACAGAGGTCAACATCACATCCGAGCTTCAGGTTGTTGCTGTTCAACTAATAGTACCTATAAAATTGACCATATGCAACATATACCTACCCAATCAAAACTGGGAATATAATCAATTGAAAAGCATATGTGAACAGCTTCCCAAACCCTTTCTCTTAGTAGGAGATTTTAACTCGCATAACCCTCTTTGGGCTCACAAAAACTGGACACCAGAGGGAGGATAGTGGAAGATATAATTAACGAAGCAAATTTAATGATGCTGAATAAAGGCGAAGGAACATTTCTTAACTCTAGGTCGTGCAACTACAGTGCGATAGACTTGGCACTTTGTAGCCCAAGTGTATCATATCTCTTGATTGGGAAGTTTTAGATGATCACTCATCTGACCATCTCCCAATACTACTTAACTGTGCCGTACAAAATACAAGTGTTCCACTTGCAGAAAGGTGGAATGTTAAAAAGGCAAATTGGGAGAAATTTCGAGAACATTTGACTCTAATGCGAATAGGTGATTCAATATCTGAAACCGTCAGCAACGTTACTGACAGTATATTGAATGCTGCTTCCGAAAGCATCCCTAAAGCAAACATACAACCTGGTAAACCTATAGTACCCTGGTGGGATCAACAAATTGAAGAAGCCATTAAAGGCAAAAAGCATAACTACAATGTCAAACAAGCCAGAGCTAGAGCACGGAGATTGATGTTAGCAGGCCAAAGAAATTCTTGGCAAAAATATGTATCTGACATCACTTCAGAGACCCCAAGCTCAGATGTATGGAAGAAAATTAGAACCATATCCGGCAAACACTTCGCCACACCTTCCCCAGTGTTACGAGTAGGAGGAAGAGAAGTTACGGGCGCTACAGAGATAGCCAACACGCTAGGCATGCACTTTGAAGAGATATGTTCCAACGACAACCTAAGCCTTGGGGCCTATCAAAGGAAGCTAGAAATTGAAAGCAATGCACTTGACTTTAGTGAATCTAACATATCGGAATATAACAACAATTTCACTCTTACCGAATTCGAAAATGCTCTTCAAGAGACTAACGACTCTTCCGCTGGCCCGGACTCCGTCCACTATTGCATGATACGCAACCTACCTGTAACAGAAAAACAAGCAATATTAGAAATGTTTAATAAAATATGGCAAACTGGTACTTACCCAGATCAGTGGAGAGAATCAATAGTGATACCTATTCCTAAAGCAGACAAAGATTCAACAAAGCCTGAGAGCTACAGACCAATATCCCTGACCTGTTGTCTGAGCAAAATCCTAGAAAAAATGATAAGTCGAAGATTAATGTGGTTACTGGAGACACGAAACCTGCTAATAAACCACCTTATCCACTTGGAAACAGCCATACAGAACAGTTTTGCCAACAGGAGCCATCTGATTGCTATCTCTTTTGACCTAGAAAAGGCATACGATACCGCCTGGGGATATGGAGTCCTATCAACTCTCCTTAAATGGGGAATTCGGGGACGATTGCCCACATTCATTGCAAGCTTCCTTGCAAGCCGGTCGTTCAAGGTAAGGCTGGGGGACAAAGTATCTCATACGTACCTCCAAGAAAACGGAATATCTCAGGGCTCCACCCTCAGCGTAATCTTGTTTGTAATAATTGCCAACAACTTACTCCAGTGCATCGATGAATCCATTGGAAAATGTATGTATGTGGATGATTTAACCATATATTACTCGGCAAAAGAAATGGTCACGATGGAAAGTAAACTTCAAGAGACCATCGACAACCTGGTTGAAACTGCTAAAAGAAATGGTCTTAACTTTTCTAGATCAAAAACTACAGTAATCCATTTTTGTCGGCTAAGAACAGCACATAGGGAACCTGCATTAACCTTGGAAGGAAACTTAATCCAAGTCAAAGAAACTCACCGGATCCTCTTTGATCGTAAACTGATGTGGAAACCACAAATCGAGTCATTAGCTGTTAGATGCAAGAAAGCCCTTAACGTAACAAAATGCGTCTCCAGCATAAAATGGGGCGCGGACAGAGATGTCCTACTGACGCTATACAAATCGCTGGTAATGTCAAAAATAGAATATGGTATTGTAGCTTTTGCCGCTGCCAGAAGATCGCATATACGTACCCTAGAAGTCATCCATCGTGAAGGATTAAGACTGTGCTTAGGTGCGTTTCGCACTAGTCCATCCAGCTCGATATATTGCGATGCGAATACTCCACCACTTGATTTACGCATATCGCAGTTAATGCTTAACTATGGAATTAACATATGGGCTCAACCCTCTCACCCAAACCACGATATCATTTTCAACAATGATAGCAGTGAAGAATACGACAACCGACCTACTATTACAAGACCATTCGGAGTCAGACTATCAGAGATTATAAACGACCTTGGCGCTGTTATCCCTGACATATACACTAAGAAACCAAGTGAAACTCCACCATGGATCGACACCAGGACGAATATTGTACTAGACTGCGCTATTTATCCAAAAAACATAACATCGGGATATGTTTATCTACATAAATTCAATGAAATAATAAGTAGATATAATACACCTGAAGTCATCTACACAGACGGAGCGAAAAATGAAAGTGGCGTAGGATCAGCTTTCATCACCCTAACAGAAACCTTTAAGTATAGTCTAAATCCTATTACTTCCGTATATACAGCCGAATTGTATGCCATCTCGGCAGCTCTTAAATACTTGCTTGACAAAACAACCCGGTGTAGTACATACCTCATATGTACAGATTCAATGACCGCCCTTCAATCTATACGAAATCAACAAGCTAAGAATCGCCTCGTCCAACAGGTGATTAATCGGTGCCATAAACTAACGCATAATTCGAACACAGTCGTATTTATTTGGACTCCAGGGCATGTAAATATTCCTGGCAACGAACTAGCAGATGCAGCAGCTCGTGACGCGACCCAAAATGGAACCCCCGTCAGCACCGTACTTCCTGAAGACCTAAAAGCCCATTTCAAGCTCCAGATACATCAACGTTGGCAAAATCAGTGGAGCCAAAGTATAAGTCGTTTGAGGATACTACAACCTACAATCGAGAAATGGAAATATCCGACAGGCCTAACTAGACGAGAACAAGTTGTCTTACAAGAATAAAGATTGGACATACTCACCTAACTTCATCACATCTTCTCCTAGGGCGAAGCCCAATACTATGCGATAAATGCCACTGCACTCTTACCGTAGAACACATCATCCTGGAATGTCCAAAATTTAACTCTAAGCGCCTAGAATGTTTTATACCAAGAAACCTGAAAGAATGCTTTTCAAACGACAGAAACATAAACAACTCACTGAACTTCATGAAATCGACAAATATGCTACACAAAATCTAAACAAAAAATCTTCCAATATAAAAATCTTAAATATTAGCTCCAACATAAATATCTCGAAAAATATGTATATGTGGGTATATGTGTATCAAGAAAACAATGAATCCTATATAAGAATGCATTATTAACACAACTTACCTGAATTCTGTCTGGCACACCAAATATTTTACTAGGAACAGGACAAACTCAATGCTGTAGTATTTAACCTATGGTAAACACTCAGTTTTACCTCCATACTTGAATTAAGTAAATGGGATGATGCAATGAATTATTTATACTGTATGTGATTGTGTGCGTTCTATATATATCCAACTCTCAGATCTATCCCTGAGATGCTAGGTTCAACTTAATGACCTCATGAGGCAGGAGGGAAGTGGCTAATGACCATAGCTGTCGATGCCACTGTGGGTTTAAAAAAAAATAATAATAAGTATAATAATTATAATAATAAAAATAATAATAATAGTAATTATAATAATAGTAATAAAAATAATAATAATTATTATAATAATAATAATTATAATAATAATAATAATAGTAATTATAATAATAATAAGAAGAATAACTATAATAATTATAATAATAATTGTAATAATAATAATAATAATGTTAATAATAATAATAATTGAAGGGTATGCCGGAACAACGTTCTAACCGACAGTTTGGTCAAAAGTGGGATTTCTATAAAACAAGGATCTATGTATCCATTCGCATAACCTCCCCCTCTTTCAAGCTGAGAATCACAAATTTAATCGGTGTCCAGACGTCTAAATGATTCAGTGAATCTTGATATCCACGTAACAACGTTGTATGTGCACGCGCCGACAGGTCTCAGCAAGTTGTTTTCGAAACTACCACAGCCCACGTGGTTTCTGCAAGATGAAAGTTAGTTTATCAGAGTCTATTATTAGTCATATGAACAGAGGTAAAAAACGAAAGCTAAAAATTGACACCTGGAAGCAGACTGTAAGAAAACATCAGAGGGATGCAGGAGAAGCATACATTTCATCGAGAAACGTACCTAAGGCTGCGTTAAGCCAGCCAGAAGAGGTAAGATTTATTAACACTTAAAAGTGTCCACAGGCGATGCACATTATTATCCAATTTTTCATAGTGTACAAAAAATGTTGACCGTTTTTTATGTAAGGTGTTTAATACACAATATGCAGCGTGGTCCCGAAATTTCACTTATGGCTTGGGCCTGTGACCATCCTGACAGTATGGGATATCGTGCAATGTGTGCATTTTTTTTTAGGAACGTGTCTGCAAATGTCCTCAAACCCCCAGAGGATGTAACGCCGATTTGCTCGTTGGAAGACATGTGAGTCTGTTCCAGAAATTTAGGAAGCTTCATTATGATGGTCAGTCGCAATATCTGTCGCAAATCATATCCCTCCAAGAACCAAAACGTAGGAGAGTTGAGGAAAATATATCTCGTAGACATTGCACTGTAAAGTACAGTATTAATGGCACTCAAGTATGTAGAGGAACAGTTTGTATATATTCTCAATTACGCCTAGAAGATTACAGTGGCTTATTGGTAAACTTAAAGCGAAACATGAATAACCTTCAAGATCAACGTGGAAAGCATCTCAATAGTCCTAAAAAGTTGAAAAACATGGACGTAGGTCTCATTTCCGATCACATCCGATCGTTTCCCCTACAGGAAAATTATTACAGCAGAAATACTTCAGCCAAACAATGCCTTCCAGCTGATCTAAATATCTCAAAAATGTTCAGACTTTTTAAGGAGAAATACCCCGATGCAAATAATATTTCCTTTAGGGTTTATCACGACATTTTCAAGAGCAAGTTCAATCTGCGATTTGGTCTACCAAGATCTGACACATGTTCGTATTGTGACAAGCTGTTTATGGAACTTTGTTCAACTGATGACGCTAATGAAAAAAAAAAATAGAAATCGAGAGTGAGTTCCACCATAGAAAAGCTGAAGCGGGTTATAAAACATTGAAAGATGATACCGAGACCTCTAAACTCAATCCAAATTATGTTGTGTTGTGCACAGATCTGCAACAAGTGCTTTTTTGTCCCAATTTAACACATTCATCTGTATTCTATCAAAGGCAATTCTCAACATATAACTATGCTGTTCATAATATGGGGGAGGAAAACGCAACAATGTTACTATGGCATGAAGCAATGGCACATCGGGGATCTACAGAGATTGCTTCAGCACTACTATTCTATATTACTAACAAGTATAGTCGTCTCAAAGCAGGTGAAGAAAGAAAACTAGTTATATGGTCAGACAGGTGTGTGGGCCAGAACAATAACTGGAAAATGCTGACAATGCCGCGACTTCTAGTTTTAGAAAAGTTCTTTACGCAAGTCGAACAAAAATTTCTTACGAGCGGGCATAGCTTTTTGCCGTGTGATAGAGACTTTTCTCTCATAGAACGACAAAAAAAAAATCTCTAAAGTATTTGTTCCCTCACAGTGGGCTGATGTTGTCGCTAAGTCGAAGGTATCCAATCCATTTAAAGTGATCTTCATGCATCAATCTTTTTTAAGGATTTTCAGGCAGCGGAAAATGTTATATAAAAGATCCATCATGTAAAATCACCCAAGTAATGTGGTTGCAAATGACCGCAGATGATGTGAATACTTTACGAGTACGAAAGTCTCACAACACACTTCAACCATGGTTTACTTACTTGTTGAAGTCACGCAAGAAATTAGTACAAGAAGTAGCGATAAGAGACCTTAAAGAGGCATATAATGAAGCACTTCGATCAAAAAGGAAAAAAAGGCAAACCTGATGGATATGTGTGACTATATCCCCTTAAAATATGTTAGTTTTTACGAAAACCTGAAAGTTGTTTAAAACCATCAAAATGTTATCCATTTGTATTATGTTTCTTGTAGCACCAACTATGTTGGTTCACTGTATTACAATAAAAAAAAATTTGACCCATTAAGCGTAAAACAAGGTCGTAAACGACTCGTTTCCGTGTAAAAACGTTGTAAGTGACGTGTATATATAACGTTGTTTTAGGGAATTTATTTTCTAAGGCTCTTAATTTGTTTAACATGGTTTATAAAAAGATGTTGTGTTTCTCAAATATATTAAAATATCGATTAGTAAATAGCCTGTCTGTTTCTTTTTTTAATTTCGGAGTAAAACATAGAAAAGCGTTTTTTTCGTTTTTCTCAAAACTAAACTTTTGGCGGTTAGAACGTTGTTCCGGCATACCCTTCAATTATTATAATAATAATAATTGTAATTATAATAATAATAGTAATTATAATAATAATAATAATAATAATAATAATAAAAATAATAATAATAATAGTAATTATAATAATAGTCATAATAATAATGATAATAATAATAATAATTATAATTATAATAATAAAAATAATAATAATAATAATACTAATAACAATAATAATAATAATAATAATAATTATAATGATAATAATAATAATTATAATAATAATAGTAATAATAATAATAATAATGTTAATAATAATAATGATTATTATAATAATAATAATAATAATTATAATAATAATAATAATAATAATTATAATGATAATAATAACGTCTGGCCTCGACCAAGTGGTTGAGCTACTGTTATTAACACCGAAGGAAAGTCAGTACGGCCAGCACACCTCCTGTTCATCCAGGCGTGGTTTTTGTCTCTCTTCCACGCCTGAGTTTAAACACTTTTAGGTAAACAATTATACCTACCTATCAAAAGAGAACACAATTACCAGAAATGGAGAAAAAACAAAATGAAGCCTCGGAATGTAACGACGTAATCGGGACTCGACGCTATGCGACGAGGTCCGCGTCCGGCAGGGAGCGTAGGGAAGGTCGCACCCGGTCGTCATCCAGCGAAAGCCCCCCACAGATAGTGTGAGAAGTAACTCGAATGACCCCATCCAACAGCTTCCTGGGGTCGAAGATGGCAATCATGTTGCTGGAAGCCAGAGCCCCAGCCCATAATGCCAGACAATAGGAGGAGAAAAAGAACCGCGTGGACCACTGAAATGAACAGATTTGTGGTTCGCTCCTACTACAGAATAACTAAACTAGAAACATCTACAGAGCCCTATGGTACTGAACTACACAGACAAGTTATCATGAACTTCCCTCACCTGCAAGGCAAAACTGTGCAAACGTACTAGACCAGCGCCGATCCGTATTCATAAACAACAGATTGCCGGCAGAGGAGATAAACAAAATAAGAGAAGAGATATCCATA